ATAGTCAAAAATATTTCAATGCAAGTTAACTATAACATCATGTTATAAGTTTTTTTTTTTTTTTTCACTAATTTTTTTTTTTAAATTTTGTTTATTTTTTGAGGAAAAGCTACCAAAAAATCTGTAAATGATATCTACCAAAAGGTATAAGCCTTTAAATGACACCTACCAAATCTGAGTTTGCAAAATATGTATTTTTAAGGTCTAAATTTGTTCATATGGGTTACTAATTAGCAATTTTATTCCGTAGTATTAGCATTTGTAGTACTATGTTGGTCGATTAATTAATGACATTTTTTTAACCAATTCAAATAATGTTTTTAACAAATTGCATAACACATCATGAAGTAAATTGTGTATCATATGTGTTGCAGATTGCATATTTCTTACACCATAAATGCTACAACCTCACCTAAAAGCTTATCTCACCACCAAGTCATTTTAATCTTCCACCCATAATAAATTAAAAAAAAGAATAAATACATAAAATTAAAATTGTCACCTTAATCTCCTTATATGACATGATGGGATGACATAGGGACCTAAAACATCATAACCATAATTACCCTAAAAATTACTATTCTCAAAAGCTTTCAATGTACCCAATCTCTTTTAATCCACTGAATAACTTCATATGGAATGAATTCAATCTCTTTAAAAGTTACTCAAAGGAGTGATGTTAGTGATCCCTTTCTTGTTCTAACTTACAAATACAACATTTCCATTAAATTAGGATAAATTTTAAAAAAATTACAAAAAACACTCAATCAAATTTGACAAACTAAATAAGAAAATTGTGAAGAGAAATAAATTAAAATGTACAAACTATCATAAAATAACAAAAAATAAAATAAAAAGTTGAAAAAAAAATGTAAAGAGAAAAAATAAATGAATTAAAACTATCATATAATGTTGGGACTTGGGAATGGAATTTTAGCACTCGTCAACTATGAAGTGTTAATTAAGGGAAAGTTAAAAAAGGAAAAAAAAAAGAAAAAAAAAAAAGGCAAAGAACACAATGGTTCGGTCTGAGAAAATAAAAAATTGGGGGGCAATGGGTATCGAACTTATGACCAAGTTGCATGCTAATGTGTAGATAGTGAAGAATGAGAACCATTGGGACAGTGCCTCGACTGTGATCTGAAGCCCTTACACAAAATACTTATACTTGTTAACGGTTGCACATGTTTATGAAAATATATTTTAACTCCCGGTAAAAATATACTTTTTATAAGATTTATATTTTAGATAATTTGTAAGTTGGAACCCATTTCATTTTTTTCATCGTCTAGATTAGGGGTGCTAATCGAGCAAGTCGATCACGAGTTGAGGGGTATTAACTGAGACCTCTTATATGACTGCGTTAAATATGTGTATAATTGATTGTTACTCAGTATATGTTAACTTTAATGTTGTTTGGTTGCAACAAATCATTTTTTAAATTGGCCTTCTTAGCTCCTTTTGATTATTAAGATCTTATAGTATATTAAGTTATGGTGTATATGATAATGAACTTGTTAGGTGATGTTATCCTTGCAGTTTAAGTTCTTTTAAGATGTTCTTTTATTGGCCTTCTAAGCTCTTTCTGAAGCACTTTCAATTTGGGATGGTACACTTCGGGATTTCGATCTATGAGCATGTGTTCTAGGGGAACTTTGTTGAGAGGCTAGAATTCGTAGAACTAACAAATACTGTTATTAATTTCAGTATAAAATGATTGTCTTATAGATAGATGATATACAATAATTTGAAGGGGGATAATTGCATAAGAATGCGTGATTTTTTTTAGCTTTCTCATGACAATCTCAAGTATGAGTGTACTTTGATGTTAATAAATTCTTGACTTATTTTGTATCGTGCTTTTATGGAATTATGGATTACCTTGTTTGGAATATATTGTTCTTAGTAATGAACAATTTGAATGACTTATGTGAATCATGATGGAAATCAATATGGAATTTATATACAATATACACTTGACTTGAATGAGAAGGTATAACTAATGAGCTACATGAAATAGTTAGATTATACCTATGACCCTTGTAGTGCATAGAGTAACCTTATGATGTTTGCATTTTAGCAACAACAATTTGGTACATATTTAATATAAACTGATGTTATTAATTTAAATGACCTTCACTCACCAACCTTGTTTAGTAGCCTAATAAGAGTTCCAAAGAAGAAATAGAATAGTAAAAGAAAATAGAGTAGAAAAAAGGAGATAGAATAGCAAAGAGGTGAGCAGTACATGGGAGAATTAGAGCCTAAGAATAGTTCTTAGAAATAGGCATAGTGTAGAATGCCAACAAATTAATCAAGGCCTTACATAATGCTATAAGATTCCTACCTTGTAAAGCTAGAGTATTCAATAACATAGCATTACATAACTAATGCATATTTTTAGAATAATTCTTACCTTATTTTTTGTTTTCTTGTTGTAATCATATAAAATTATCGAATGAATGACATTGCTCAAGTGATCCTTATGCAAGGTTATTCTTAGCTTAGCGTGCCCCCAATTTGCCCCTAAGATTTTCTTAAATGATTCTTATGTAAGGTTGTTTGTAGCTAGCGTGGGCCCGCCTTTGACGCTAAGATATTCTCATACTTTACTCTTGTTGTCTATTTGCTATTTGCCTTTGCTTTTGTTGTTTGTCTTTCTTGTGCTTGCTGATTTTGATTTGGGAATATAATCAAGAAATGATAAGAGTTACAAGGGAGAACAATATATTTCAGAAAAGATTAGATGCATAGAAAGACTATTAAGAATGAGGTTGGTTATTTAAGTAGGCAGAAATTAAGCAAAGATTAGATTAGGGGGGCTAATTGAGTTGAGCAGCTCGCGAGCAACTCGTACTCGACTCGTACAACGGTCGGTCAAAACTCGACTCGAGTTAGCTTGACTCGAATTCGACTTGACTCGAGATGTTAACAAGTACGAGTTAAGCAAGCTCTAACTCGACTTGATAAGCTCGATAGTATAAAATTAATATAGAATTTGCAAACAAAGTTACTATCTTCAAACAAATTTGACACTAATTAAGCCTTAATGTATATCATACAATAAGGAAGAGTAAATTTTTATTAACATCTATATACAATAAGGGTTACAATATGAATTGAACAAAAAATAAGTAAAGGCATATAATAATAGAAGGACCAAAATTGTAACGAGTAGATTATGAGCTACTCAATCAATTTATGTGGGCATAATTTTTTTCTTAAATTTTTTGTCAATTTTATTAAACATCTGAAATTTGCCCCCCAGGACTAACGTGAAAATGTTATGCCACTCTTCATCAAGGTAATTCAATGTAATTATAAATGATGAACTTAGCTTAACACTCTCCTTCAGACTATTTAAAGTCTAAACTAGGAAATATTAGAGGTGTTTGAATAATACCACAAAGGCTTGGTAGCACCTATGAATAAAATAGTGTTGTTCATCGTTTATGTAGAGTGACACTGAAGGTAGTTATACCTATGCCTAGGGTACTAATATATAGATCAAGAGGTACCAGATGAACATATGAATTATTCAATGATGATTGTAATGACAAATAAGTTTTACATTAATTGAAGTAAGACATTTCAAACAATAAAGGGGTAATCAATTTAATTAGATGGTTTTGTTCACGACACGACTCTTTAAGATATATCTGTCAGATATGTGTAGTTACTTTATTGAGTTACGGAGTAAATTACAATCATATTACAATGTAACCTCCTTAGTGTTTAAGGTGTAGTTCGTCATTGCATAACAATAAAATTTTCAGCGTAATATTTCATCATTAATCGCCAGATTGAATAACAATAAACCATTATTTAACAAAGTGAATTTTCATCATTTATTATTTTATTTGTAACGCATATAAATAAAATTTACTACACTAATATATTATGCATCCCTATCCTTTTTTTAATAAGCCAAACTTTTATTAAAAGAAATTGTAAGACAAAGGTTTTTATATTTTGACAGATTTTTTCTATCTTTTGTATTGCAATTGGCTTGGGATAGTACATCTCTCATTCAAGTATAATATCCAACTAATACAATATCGATTATTATTCTTAAGAGTTAGTGCTTATAATTTAATTACATTTCCCATTTATACGTTTCAATTATTCTTATTGCACATTCAATTGATTCGGATCCGGGGTATCGCCCGGGGCAATAATTAAGTAGTTATTATAAGAAAATCTAAAGTTTCAATTAACTTAAGTTTTATGTATAATTCTAGTCATCATGTAATTTGATTATATCGTAAATAATTAGATTAGATTTACAAAATTTAGTTTATGAATTTAAAATTGTGAAAATGATGAAGTGTGACAAAAGAGAGTGATCACAATATGTAAATATTAAATTACGAACACTTGATCACAATAACCCTCAAATTTCCTTAATTTTCATTCATTTGAAGTAACTAATAAGCTATGTGATGTTCCACTTAATAAATGATAGTTTTTGAAATCAATTTTAATAATTTAATCAAATCAATTTACATTGTTTCTCCAGAACATGTATGATAACACCCTAGCATGTTTGGACACACAAGCACATAGATACAAGACCAAATCCATATAAAGCAAAGACGTAATCATATTGTGGAAAACCATATTAACCACATTAAACAGAGTATTTGCTCAAAAGGCGGACAAATATTTAATTCAAACCATTACAAGCACTTCAATGCTCTACAGGATTAGGGGTATTAGGGGTAGGAGGTTAGATATACATCCCTCCTAACAATGTTCAAAAGATCCTTAGAATGTTCAAAAGGATCGAGGGGGGGGATTAGATATACAACCCACTTAACAATGTTCAAAACGATTAGGGGGAGGGGATTCAATATACATCCCTCTTAAGTTGGTCAACTGCACAGTTGTTAGAATATTCCAAAATAATAAACCTCCCTGTACGAGCAAAATAATCCCTAAATCACTATCCCCTATTGTTCATTTGTCCTCAACATCCAAAAAATTAGACATAGTGCAATTTATACCCAAACCAGATCATGTTGTGTGAGAAGATCATCACCTCCATCACCATCCAGACCGACAACACCTCCATCATCAACATCCATTCCAAGAACACCTTCATCATCATCTCTACACAACACAAAGCCATCAGAGTCTTCTTCCACCGTGCTAGTGAAGTACCCAACCGAACCATTTTCAGTCAGCATCTCAATGCCACCAGCAGACAAGCGAAGCACTTCATCAGAGTTCACCTGTACATAAATATACCATTAGTAAGTGTAATTAAAAGAATAAAGTTAAACCTGCACTTATTATTGTTACAAATAACCTGAGGGTGTAGTGCAGTTTTTTTGACGGAGTTGCTCCTCTTAGGAGTTCGCTTTTTTGACTTCTCTACACAGGACCGATGATGTGGATTTAAACCCCTTAACTTAATAAAGAATCTAAAATCACACAAGTAACACAAGCCCTTCGAATTTCCTAAGAAAATCGAACAACTTAAGAATAACGAACCGAATATGACTTTGAAAACGACCACTCCTGGAACGAATTCAACGCCTCTCAAATTACCTAGACCACTCCTGGAACTAAGTACTTTGATGAACAAAACTTAGACTACTCCTAGAACTAAGAATTGAACGTTCTAATTATCAAAACAACTCCTTGAATTGAAAACTAGCAAAAGAATTTGTAAGCAATTAAGCAAAACAAACAATCAACTTGAATTTTAATGATTTTCGAATGTTCTGAAAAATCACGAAAATTACATTATTTATAGACTAAAACTAACTATTCCTAAGTCTATTCGAACTAGGAAAAAACCCTAGCCTTGATCCCCAAGTATCCTAGATAGAATAGGAGAACCAATTCTAATGGAACTAGGAAACTAGTAATAAGACTAGTTCTAATTAACCTAAAACTTCTTAAAACAATTCCTAATTGACTTAGAAATTATTTTAAAATAAAATAACAGAAATTAAGAAGATTCCTAATTGCTTAAACCAAGAAAAACCCTTTCAAGTGAAAGGTAAAAACTTGCAAGCAAAAACTCTAGAAAAAACTAAGTTAGGAAAATCTTTCTTTTCGTACTGCCGCCGAACCACCACCTCACGCGCCGCCATCATCGACACGCGCCCCACCGCCGTGTAGCTGGACTCATGCCGGAGCTAGGGAGCCGGCGCGTGGCACCCAGATCGGCGCGTCGCCGCCGCTGCCGTCGTCGGAACCCAACTGGACCTTGACTTCTTCTTCAATGGCTGCGCATGTTAACCATTCTTGATTCTTTACTCCAAGCTCAAACCCTATTGGCCTTAAAACCAATATGATTGGCTCTTCAAAAGAATTTCCCTCTTGATCCACATCAAATTGGTATCAGAGCTTGTGTGATACCACATCAAATTGGAGTTCTATGAGGATTTTTACGAGAAACAGGATCATTGACTAACAGATCAGTAGATGGGGAACCAATCTCAAAACAGGTCGGAGAAACATCCATAGTGGACTGCTTCCCAGTCTCAGTGACAGTCCCTTTTCCCTTGTTCACAGACTTTGGAGTTTTCTTTCTGGAGGAAGCAGGAGATTTTTTGGTTGATTTGGGTGGAGTTTTCTTAGTTGGTGTGATACCGGATAATCCTGCTGTATTCACTGTGGCTTCCACGTTGATGTCCAACTGCCGAAGTGTGTCGATAACTATGCAATCAGCCACTGTAGAAGCCTTAACGCACAAGGGCTCAAAAGCTACCATCATTTCATCAAACCTCTTCGACTCCACCGTCTTTGAAGGATCATGGTAAGTAACCTTGACCCTAGTGTGCTTTCTGAAAACATCCTTACGCCAACGATTTAAGACAAACATTTCAGGGACATCAGTCATCTTATGCATGTCCAAAACCTTGAGTTTGAAAGAACAAGTTAAAAAGGATATATATATGACTAAAAAACCAATAAAATGAGGCATGCAAGATCAAGGTCAAGGCACGTGCAAATTTAATTTAGTCACGGTAATTATGCTCTCATATTAACAAAAACATTAGTTTTAAGTACCACATTTCATGAATTAGGCATATGTAATGAAAATAAGAAGCATGAAGACAAATGTAAAATGATAAGCACATACACAAGAATACCTTAATGATATGACGACATATAATGCCATGAGTTTCAAAATGCTTGCAGCTGCAGAAAGCTTTAGTGTTTTCTTTATTAATTTTCACATGATATAGCCTCGTGTATTGAGTCGGGAACTCTTTCCGAGTTTCCTTGCACAAGACCCACACTCTGTCCTCAAGAGTGTGGGTAATAGTGGCACCATTATCAGAGTCAATGACCTTAGACAACAGGGTCAAGTACAACACTCTATTGCATTGTTCTTGGACATCCAAAAACTTTGAATCTGTGTAGATTTTTCTGAAAAACCATTCGGGCATAAAACGGTGATAAGTGGTCGACAGAACCGCTGATCAGCAGCATCAGATTGTTGCTCATCATTTGCTCTTAACTCCATTGCTGCTATGTACTTCGGCCCAAACTCATACAACCATGTGTGCTTGTCGAGGAATCCATCAAAGAAAGAGTTAATGCTCTCAACACGCTGAGTAGTCTTCATTCCTTCCCAAAAAAAGGGTCTCATGTAGGCAGGAGCCCACATTTTGCTCTCGGCATACAAACCTATTGAGCAAATACACAAACCTAATTAACAACAAACCTATTGAGCAAATACACAAACCAATAACAATCGATGATCCATTAGGTTAGATGTAGACAATTGTAACACTTTTAGACATAACTTGGCACAATTGCGATAAAAACTATTAAAAAGCATAATTCAAACAACAAATAGCCATGAATTCATATAATGAAGTAACCTATTTAAATTAAACAGAAAGCATATATGTATAAGACTTAGATATAAACATACTAACCTGCCAGCCACGGATCTTCCTCGAGCTGATATTTTGCAATGACAGCAACCCACTCCTTCTCAAACTCATCATCAGTAAGGCTGTCATAAATGACATTGTGAAGTTCCACCTTAAACAATTCATAAGTCTCATACTTACCAAGTTTCTGGCTGAACTTGGTAAGTATGTGCCATAAGCACCAGCGGTGATGTGTACAAGGCATAACATTGCGGAGAGCTTTCCTCATTGCAGCATCTTGGTCACTTAATATAGCCAAGGGTTTCTTTTTAGACATACACCCTAACCAAGTTCTGAATAACCACTCAAATGTTTCGGCATTCTCATGGGAAAGCAAGGCACATCCTAGCAGAATGGATTGTCCATGGTGGTTGACACCGACAAAATTTGCAAAAGGCAGGTCATACTGATTTGTTAAGTACGTTGTGTCAAACACAATCACGTCCCCAAACTCCTCGTAGGCAGCCCTACTTCTTGCGTCAACCCACATAACATCGGACAATTGATTGAATTTTTCTACCCTATGCATATGATAGAAGTTCTGATTATCAGCACTCATGGCGTTGAAGTAATCAAACAACGCATTCCAGTCACCATTCTTCATCTTCTCACTTCTTTCCCGGGAGATAACATTATGCAAATCTCTATTGGTAAAGGCCACATTTTCAACCCCATTCCTCTCACTGGCTAGTGAGTTGAAGACTTGGGTGACCTTTGACCCAGAACCAACATCAGTGAAGAGCTTTCTCCTCACAACATCATTGATGTCTTCCTTCCTATACATAGCAATATAGCGATACTTTCGAGGTGTAGGGACATGATTCCTGTGCTGTAATTCCAACCCCTTTACTACCCAATCACCAGATTTCATTTTGCAGCAGTACATATACACAAGGCAGTCACATTTCTTTGACTTACGCTTAGCAGGCCCTTCCCTTTCAGCAACCACCCTTTTTCCCATTAATGCGACGCCTATAAGTAGTGCTTCCATAGCATTCACACCTCCACATGTAACCTCTTAGGCTATTAGACACAGCTTTCTTCTAGGTGTAGGAACCAGATGCACGAAGAATCCCAAAGCCTTGTTGCCTTCCATAGTTCCTGAAGTAAGTATCAATATCTCCCCAACTAGCAAATATCATCCCCACAAAGGGCGGGGGAACAACCCCATTAGAGAGAACAGCATCATAGCACCTCGTACTCTGTGTTCCATCACACAACAATGTTGAATTTGATACCTCTTTGTTGCCTTGGGGCGTAACCTCACAATCAGAATCCAAATCCACAACATCATTGCAGTCCAAAATCGCACCACTTGTACCGTCACCCCTCATATCCTAAACAAAGTAGTACATAAATATATTATAATCATATTACAAGCAAGTTGACCCCAATTAAAATTCAATACATAAATAGCACATAGAATTTAGGGATGCATAAACAATTAGCTCATTCGCTCAGTTTAGTTAATTTTAGGTCTTTGGTTGAAGTACCTACACCATTAGCTCATGAGTTCAATTTAGGGATTTTAAGGTTGTCGTTTAATTGGCATGTAAGGATTTTAAGGATTTGAACAAATTATGTGTCTTTTGTTTTGTGGGGCTAGCAATTCAATTAGTGATACTAGACATAATGAAATCATAAATATATGTGATCAAAAAATATCTTTTCACAAAGGGAAAGGGGATGCATAAACAATTGATTCACCTAATTATAAGCAAAAGTTGTTGATCAACAAGTACAAGTAGCTACTAAACAAAACAAAAAGGCCGGAGAGGAACAACCCCATTAAAAAGAACAGCATCATAAGACATTCGATTAGCATTAGTGATCAAGTAGAAGTACTTAATATCAAATGTGATTGAAATAACAAGCACATTCAATACAAACATGTTGTGTCTAATTGAAATAACAAGCATGTTGACCACAATTCAAAATTCAATACATATATGTTCTATGTAATTGAAATAATAAGCACATAGATACGTTTAACAGGTTGTTGATGCTTTGTTTGGGCATTGTTGCAATTCACTATATCAAGTAGAAGTACTTAATATCAAATGGTGTTGCAATTCACCATTGCTGCTACACTATATGCAAAATTGCAACACTTAGAGCCATCAAAGCTACTAACTTAGTTGCAAAACAAATAAGTTCAGATTATATGTTTACTCATATTTTGACTAATATATGAATTAATTGGTTGGAAAATGTGCACTATATTTGTTGATAATTAGTCACATGAACTAATAACTAATTACTAGTCACATGAACTAATGAACAAACCAAACCAAACCAAACCTAAACACATAACTAATAATTATTCACTTGAACTATTCCAAAAACCAAACCCAAACCCAAACAATTAAGTTCAGATTTTCATGGTTCATACTCGAAACAATTGAAATATTATGATATTATTATCCACAAACCCAAGAAATTATTGACATAATACTATATAGTAACAAACTAATTTTAAAGTATAGTACCTGAAATTGATGATAATTGTCGAGTTTAGCAAACAATTCCCGAAAATCCAACTCAGAAAACCTAGAAATTCAGTATAATACATTAATAAATAACTCTTAAATTAACAAAAAGACTAATTTAACAACAAAAAGACCAAAAAAAATTAAAGTGTGCTTACCAGATTTGGTATGTCGTTTTCGAGTTTCCCAAATTAGATCAATTTAGTTGAGATTTGGAATTTCGTTCTTCATTGGTGTTTGTTCTTGAATTTTTGGCTGAAATAATGAACTTTAGCTAGCTTTCTCTCTCTTCCTTTTTTTCAATTTTGGGAACAACTAACATCAGCAGCTCAGCTGCATTTTGGCGGAAAATTTCCCCCCAAAAACACACCCCGTTCCCATTTTCCCAACCAAACGGGAGTTTTTTTTTTTTGGTTTGTCCAGATATTATTATTTTATTGTTGCGCTGATCCAATTGGACGCTCCCCCCTTTTGTCCAGTACTTCCTCTGAGTGAGAGTGCTCTTAGAGCATGAATATTGGAGAGGATATCTATCCTCTTGAAGGTGGTTTTTGCTTAGGTGGACATATCCTCTTTGATGCTGGGAATTATTGAGGATCCTTGAGGGGAGGAGGATGCTCATGAATCCTCTTCTGTTGAAGGAAAGTGAACCTCTTCTACCGTGCCAAGAGGATGACTAAAAACAACGTTTCAAGCAAAAAATACAATGCAAACTGTGACGTTTTGTTAAATTAAAAAAAAGGAAAAAAATTAATCTTCTGACATAACAACAAAGTGGCGAAGACAAGCAACGACAATATATTTTAACCAACCTTCCATTGCTTGACAAGTGGTAGCCACTGATTTGTTATATTTGTTACATGATTTTACTAGCACAAAAATCTTATAACGGTAATTAATAACAAACGGCAACTTATTTAAAAAAACTGATTTCACCAACAACTTTATTTTTTTTTTCCTCTATAAAATGAACCTAATTTTGGCCATTTTTTATGCCCTTCAATTTTTCATATTTTTCCTCTCTTTCCTCTAATTTTAAAATTTTCTTCTATAATGGATCCAAATAATCCTAATTATGGAAGAAATATGAATTTCCCAACTGAATACAATGCAAATACTCCCCCTTTTGATCCAAATATATTCAATAATCCACAATTTCAAGCTGCTTTGCAATGGTTTGGTAGCCACCAAAGACCTATAAACCCGAATTATACATCCCAAATTCCTCACCAATTTCATGGGGGTTCATCTTCACAAAATGTCCCATTATTTCCCATGTCCCAACATTTTACCCAACCCATGGATCAATCTCCAGGAGTAAATGTTAGTAGCACTGCTTCTCCAACAGAAGATGTACGGGAAGCGCAACATCTAGAAGATCTCGATGATGATGTTGTTGACATTACCGGAGAAGACCTCAATGATAAAAAAGCTACTGCATGGAGTATAGCTGAGGATAAGGCGCTTGTTTCAGGCTACATCAATGCCGGTGGGAATGTTACCATAAATACGAAACGAACTAAAGCCGGTTTATGGGTTGCAATTGGGAAGTTATACGAAGAGGCACGGGTAGAGAACCTTGAAGAGATAAAAGAATGGACCATTAAGTCCATGCAACAACGTTGGGATTTTATCAACAAATGGGTTTCAAAATGGGTTATGGCGTACAGTTATATCCTACGACATCCGAAAAGTGGAAACTCAGGCGGAGACGCTATCCAACGTGCCCATGAGTATTATGCAAAACTCAATCATGGAAAACACTTTACTTTGATGCATTGTTTTGAAACAATGCAAAATTGTCCTAAATGGGACCCACATATGGTCCAACAGCTTCCTTTGGAGAGCGAGGGAAGTGGGAAACGATCCGAACTAGAATCACCAAGTGTGGGTGCTGGAAAAAAGCGACCTATGGGTATAAAAAAATCAAAGAGTTTAGCTGCAGAAGGTAGTAATTCTTCTACATCGATAAACCTTGAAGCTTTCAACACAACTCTTGACGAAACTAGTGATAAGCGGCTTGATCAAGGAGAACGAATGATCGACTTGATAAGTAAAAGGAGCGAAGATAGGAAAAAGCTAAAGGAGGAGGAGATGAAATTTAGCATGTTACGTTCGTTGATGGAAAAACCCGTCCTCGATGAATTTGAAGTCGAAATGTACAAGAAGCTTAGAGAGGAGTTTAGTAACAGGTTTTTTTAGAGATATTAGTTAAGTACTAGTTATTTTTTATGTATTACTTATTTAATCTTTTAGTTTCTGTATCAAGAGTTTATCTTTCATCTAACAACATTATGTTTAAGATTTGTTGTAGTACTTAAGATGTAATCGTACGTAGTAGTAATTTTAATCGTTTGTATTTTTATTTGATATTAGATGTTGTAATCTTATGTGTTGGAGTAATAATATTATGTTTCTATTAATAAAAAAAAAAAACATGTAATTTTCTATCTTATCTACCAAAAATCTTATCCCTCTGCTAAAAATCTTATCCTCTGTAAGAAAATCTCATTTTATCTGCCAAAATATGAAAACTTATCTGCCACAAAATCTGACCTTATCTACCAAAAATCTTATCCATCTGCTAAAAATCTTATCCTCTGTTAAAAAATCTCATTTTATCTTCTAAAAAATCTTATCCACTGTATAAAAAATCTTATCTTCAGCTAGAAAATCATATCTTATGGTAAAAATCTCATCTTACCAGATTGCAAATTATTTTTTGTAACTTTTATCTCAATTGCCTATAAATTGACCTATTTCACTTACAACACTTCTACTATCACAACTACAACTACATATTAATAATTTTAAAATGAGTAGTAATTCAAATTCTTCCATTCTAGTGATGAAATCTATGACTACATGTTGCTTGATTTTATTGAGGAAAATCGGCAACAACAAATCATAGAAGATGCATTGAGATATGTGGTTAACACCACCATGCAACAAGAAGAAGATGTTCCACGTCAAAGAAAACGAAGGGAAGTTATACCACGTAATCGTGAAGCAACACATGATCAGTTGGTTGCTGACTATTTCAGCGAACAACCATTGTATGGTGACGATAAGTTTCGACGTAGGTTTTGCAAGCGGAAACCTCTATTTATGAAGATAGTGAACCAACTGAGTGAAACTGATCGATTCTTCCAACAACATCCAGATGCCAGTATGCGTTTGGGTGCTTCTCCAATACAGAAGTGCACAGCGGCTATAAGGATGTTAGCATATGGATGTGCAGCTGATCAAGTTGACGAGTACCTCAAGCTTGGGGCAACTACGGCTAGACATTGTATCACACACTTCGTTGACGGAGTGATTCGTGAATTCTCAGCAGAGTACTTGAGGAAACCAACCCCTGAAGATATGAATCGCCTCCTAAGAGAAGGAGAGGAAAGAGGTTTTCCTGGTATGTTGGGAAGTATCGATTGCATGCATTGGGAGTGGAAAAATTGTCCAGCGGGGTGGAAAGGGATGTATCAAGGGAGATCAAAAACGGCGACGGTTATCTTAGAAGCTGTTGCATCTTGTGATTTGTGGATATGGCATGCCTTTTTTGGTACACCTGATTCCTGCAACGATATAAATGTCCTTCAACGTTCACCCGTCTTCGACGACATTTTAAATGGTCGTGCTCCACAAATTCAGTTTACCGTGAATGGAAATACTTACAATCAGGGGTATTATCTCACAGATGGGATCTACCCAAAATGGGCAACATTTATAGATGCAATAACTGCACCGCAACCCCTAAACAACGATTGTTTACTACCAAACAAGAGAGTATTAGAAAAGATGTAGAGCGTGCATTTGGAGTGTTGCAAGCTCGATTTGCCATTATAAGACGTCCTGCTTTGGCATGGAGTGTCGAAATGTTGTGGAAAATTGTTATGGCGTGTATTATCATGCGTAATATGATCGTGGAAGATGAGCGCGAAAGTTATCTTAATTATTAGGATCCTAATGAGTTTGCTACTGAACAACCCGAGTATTTAGCAGGAACTTCAAACCGAAGAGGAACGACTTTCACCGTAACCCCGGGCTACCAAAATCCTAATCTAACCACATTAATGGCTACACCAGAAAATCTCCACGATAAACAAACTTATATGTCACTTAAACAAGATTTGGTAGAACATTTGTGGGCAAGATTTGAGCATACTAGTAATCGGTAAGGAAAAATGAGGATATTTAGTTATTTGTCTTTAATTTCTTGTATTTGTTGTACTTTAGTGTATCAATTAGTGTTTTTATTCCTAACTCCATGTGTTATTGTTTCAAAATGTTGGTAAAGTATGGTAATTTTTATTATGTATGCTAATTATGGAATACTAATTATTATTATTATTATTATTATTAATGTTATTATTATTATTATTAGATTTTATCATTAAAGAAATCAATAACAAATAATCAATAATAATAAGGTGGGGCCATATTTATATATAAAATATATTGAGAGGATACCCTTTGATGTGGGAAAAATAAATGGAAGAGGATGGAAGAGAGGAAAGAGATAGTGGAAAATGAAGTGGATGAAGGATAGTATGAGGTGTCAAAATAGGGTAAGGAGAGAGAATAAAAGAGAGGATAAAACCATCCTCTCCAATATTCATGCTCTTATATCCATATTCCTTATTCCATACCCGACAAAAAGAAAAAAAAAAAATTACTAGCAAACGGAAGATTGACCAAATTCTGCCCAACGATTTCAACCGGAGAGAAAAATTGATCGTCGAAATTCATTGTAATCCTTACCGGCGGTAAGATTTCCGGCGCTAATCTCGCCGTCATATTCAACGGAACCCTAATCTCCTTTCTCTCTCCTCACCAATCACCCCCTTGTAAAACCCCATCAAAAATTCACTCCAGATTAAATGGAAAAGAAGCCATCTGAATTCGAAGATCTATCATCAGTACAGGCAGTTTTAGTTGGTGCTTTAGCTCCTGGAGTCAATGTTAGTACACTATATTACACCATATTGTTTTTGTAACGGGCATAGTCCCGGATTTAGTTGTCACGTTAGTAGTTTAAATTACGCAATCAACGTGACTATTAATTCGAGACGATAACAGATGATTGACTGATGTAATTTTATTGTTTGCAGGCTCCGACATGGACTACATTGAAAATGGTGTTTGTGATGCTGGGTGCTAGTCTAATTTTGATGCTTGTTTTGGGATTTACTTCTAGTGATACTGCTTTGATTCTTCATGTTGGGTTTCTTGTTCTTATCACTCTTACCTTATTTTTATTGCTCACAAGGTATATACTTTTCTTTTAGGTGTGATCTTGTTATTTCTTTTGTTTTAATTTGATTGTTATTGCCTTAAATTTTTATTGGGTTTATTTTGGTTCTGTTTCATGTTTTTTATTTTTATTTTTATTTTATTTTTTTCATGTAATGGGATAATAATTAATCATTAGTCTATGTTTGATGTTTTACATTATGATTTTTTGTGTGTTAATTTAGTCTAAACAATTATCTAGGACCTCCTATTTTACTGTTTTAGAAACTTTAATGCAGGAATTTGCAATTGAAACTATCTTATACTGCCATTATCAATATAGTCATCCTTTAGCATAAGGTTGTTTTGGATCCAAGTTCAACTTAGTAAGCATTAGAAACTTGATAACTTAAAACTTTATGGCTTGGAATTGGACAAATCAAACTTTATGATCAATTTGATAGTCATTTGTATTTCCTTTTTAGAGGAGAAAATTTAACTTAAACTTTATGGCTTGGAATTGGACAACTCAAACTTTATGATCAATTTGATAGTCATTTGTATTTCCTCTTTAGAAGAGAAAAATTGTTTTGTGATGTAGAATCAAAGGGTTGAAAATGATGATTCATTATCTATATAATTGTTTAGGAAAAATTGTTAGAAACCATCTTTTAAAACACCTTTTTTTTTTTTGAAAAACACCTTATAAAAATTTTCTTGTGAAAAACTAAAAACACACCTAAAACCATATTTTTTTAGGGCATTGACCTTCATGTGAGGGTCACATGCTCAACCGCTCCTTCCACAAAACCACCAAAATCAAGCCTAGCCAGCACCAGCCGTCGACACCACTACCTAGCCACCACTAGAACCACCTCTCAGCCGCCGACACCACCACCCATCAACCTAGCTGCCATCACCGCCCACCCTGCCCGCAAAATCCTCACCCACATCCAAAACCACCCACGTCCCACCCAAAACCACCTAAATCCACCCATAAAAAGTGTACCCTCCCCCAAAAACCAATAGAGAGGAGAGAATAGGGTAGGTAGCAGTTTTTCCCCTTTTATTCCTTAATTAAAAAAACCCAAGATCTAAGGTTAATAAAAAATCCAACGAAATTAACAACAACGAATCAATTTTTTTAACTTCAACAACTTACCTACCTCAAAATTATATTAATTGAGGTTGTTCTTTGCCGCAATTCGATCAAAACAATGGAGTTTTCCCCTTTAATTGACAAAATTCGAGGGTTGCTATGAATATTATAGGAGTGAGAAAGTCTAATTGCAGGAGAAAAGGAAAGAAAAAGGGGATGGGTTTAGAGTGATTTGGGTAGGTGGTAATGGCGGCTAGGTTGATAGAGGTGGTATCAACGTCGGAGGTTGAGAGGTGGTGTTAGCGGCTGTTAGGTAGTGGTGTCGGCAGCTGGGGTTGGCTAGGGGGCTATGGTTTTGAAGAGGGAGGGGTTGAGCACGTGACCCTCACGTAAGGGTCAACGCCGGAAAACAGGGTTAATGCCTTGAAATCGGGTTAAGGTGTTACTTCGCAAAAAAAAAAAAAAAAAAAAAAAAAATCGTTTTAGGTGTGCTTTAACGAGAAAATTTTTATAAGGTGTTTTTCCACACACAAAAAAAAAGGTGTTATAAAAGGCGGTTTCTTAAAAATTAAAAAATTTCCAATTATTTACTATAATGCTACCATTTCTCTTAATACATATATTGACTAGACAAAATTTTTATCACCAAGGTTTGAATGTCTTATTGTTATGCTGTACCTTTCTCAAGTTAAGCTCGATTTGAACCTAGACTTGTCTTAGCTTGGACAAATGAAGTTGGCTAATTTATAGTTGCTTTTCATGACTCACTTCATGTACCTCTTTGTCTTGCTGAAGTCTAGACCGTACTCATACCAAATCCATTGTCCGCTCCAACCCCCCCCCCCCTTCCAAGGCCAAAGAAGTTGAAGAGCTGAATGTTGTTTGTCCCCGTGGGAGTTTATTTTTTATCCGTGGACCTAAATTACTGGAGGCTAAATACCATTTTGGTAACATGCTAAAGTTTTTCTCCAATCTGTGCGAAGACAAATTCATCTTTTGTATGTTTAAAATAGCCAATCTTCATTATGTCTCCAAATATTATTTAAAGCTAGATGATCCCATAATTTTAGGTCTGTGCTACTTAGATAACTAGAACAATTAGGAAGATAGTAACGTTAGTGTTAATTGCAATTTGAATAATTTACTATTGTTATTTATCCAATATAAGCTTTCCTTGGCAAATGATTTAGTATAATTAGAAGTTGTAGACTTGTAGGTATTGATCTATCAAGGCTTTGAAACCTGGGTTTACCGGTTTAGCTTATTTCTTGCTTCTTGTTTGTGTAGTACGGGGGCAATACTTGCACAAGATTGGAATTCATTATTTACGCATTGCCTGCTATCTCTTTCGTTTTCATAATTGGTGCATGGTAGATGTGTGACTGTTCTCTGTTATGATACATGTCATACAACTAACTCAAAGCTTCAGCTTGTGTGATGTAATTTTATGCTTTGTTTACAGTTGCTTATTGTGTCACTGTCACTACAAAATTTAGAGGTTAAATTCATTAGATTGGAAGGCAACCTCCTCTGTTTTTACTCCTTTGTCTATACTGGGTCCTTAGTCCATGGGCTTAATAGTGGGTTAGGTTAGTTATGCTCATAGATCCATATCTCATGACACTATTGTGTAATGTTCTTTAATTTACTATAGCTTAAATTTGTGATCAAAGGTCTTATTCAAAGAAGCATGCTCTCTAATTTCGATATTTGTGTAGGACCTTTGTCATCTTAATTGGTACAGTAGTATATATGTTTTTTTAAAATTTGGGAAAACTGGGTGGGAAAAATAGGATTTATATGTTTGGTGCTACTCAGCAGTCACTACATAAAGGATAGGATTGATTTTAGCAGTGTTATTGAGGTTAGGAGCTGGAGAACACCTATATATAAATCATTATCAGCGCCTTTTTTCTCGCTTATTGTCATAAAAACTGGAACGTGATCAGCATATCGTTAAATCAAGTGTTCTCACTTAATCTGTAGTTGATACCTTTTCCTAAAAAACTGTAGTTGATACCTTGGTATTTTCAAGAGGAAGTCTATATTTCTTCCCTGCCTCCCAGGCTGTCACCTCTTCGTAACTTGAACACCCCCCTCCCCCACCTCACCCCTTTCTCTCTTTTCCTGTTTCTTTTGGACCTTTGGCACTTGGGAGGTATGGGTGGGAGAGGAATATTATTGACTTCTGTTTTCAGTAGTCTCATTCTGAGCAAGTTTTTTGTATTGCCAGATTTTAACATCTGTGTTCTGAATGCCAGTACGTATAGTGCTATTGATCTATCAATGTTTTATCTTTCATTCATCTCATATGGGAAGTGCAAGTACAAAGTTATGTTGGTTTTGAAATGAAACTGACTCTTTCCAAGTTCTTCTTAAATTCTTGTACCTGAGTTTGGTTCTGTTCATGCATGTTTCACTTGTCCTAATGGGCCTTTGTTAGATAATTCTTAATAACTTCCTATATTAAATATCCTCATTGTACGCCCATTTGAAGGAAAATATGAATGTATCAACTTCCCGACATTCCCATTGCCCCCCCCCCTTTCCCCCCCGGGCGTCAAAACAAAATTAGTCAATCTGATTTGTGCATCACTACCCCTGGTTTTATCTGAGCTTTTGTTCTTCTGATATTTTGCCTAATTGTTGTACCTGTCATAATATATAACTTGTTCTGTTATCTCTGCAGTTTTCTCGAACAAACGGGTCTAGTTTCAGTTGAACATCAAATGCAAGAAATGGGCTTGGTGCCTAAGGATAGCAAAACAAGCCCTAAAACCGAGTAAAAAAGGGTGCAGTTTCAACCATGATATGTGACAGTTTAGAGCAATTGAGAAGAACAGATCTTTTCAAACAATCAGAATTTTTTCAATTGTAATTTCAAATTTTCAATGACAACACAGTACTTCAGACATCTTACATTCTTACAGAAGAAGAGAAAAGGAAGTTGGCCATACGACTTCTCATTACAAGATGACAGAAAGTTGAAGGTGCTCACTCGTCCTGTTGTTGCTTCTTCATTTGAAATTTTGACCCCTTCTGGACTTCATGTAATAGGAACACGAGCACTATCGGCATTGCTGCATAAACTTCATCCTCCATCTACACTTCTGCTATAAAGTATTTATAGGACAACACTAGAATTTTTGTTCCTCTTTCTTGGTTTATATACCTATTCGTTGATAAGAAGTATGCATGGCTTTCTAATCATAAGGGGCTTCATGATATGCTTTGCCATTTTTATAAGTCATGTAATATTTTTTTTTTGTAAGAAATCAAATTGCCAAATAATAGAGAAGAGTAAATAGTTTCCTATGGTTTTTTTTTTTTTTTAAATCAGATAGAAATAATTCTTTACATTAAAAAAATAAAATAGTAAAAAATTGTAACCTACTGTTAAAATGATTAATTATTCTTATACTCCCTCCGTTTTTAAATACTTGCTCCATTTCTATTTTTTGCATTATTCATTTGTCCTACTTTGACTAATGTTTGTGATTTATACATAAGAAAAAATATAGTTTTGTGGGTACTTGTTGGAATCATCTCAATAAATAGATTATTAATTTTCAATTGTTAGAATTTATACTTATTGATAATCAAAGATATTAGTGATCAAAGATTAATATCGACATGCGTGTCCAAGAGAATTGGAGCAAATATTTAAAAACAAATGGAGTACTACGTATAAAAAGTTTGTTCATTTCAATTATACTCAAATCTACTCCTTAGAGCAAGTTTAGCACTAAGGATGTGACATCATTTTTGGTGGTCCCCGTTGAAAATAATGTCATCAAATTTTTGTTAAGACTCACTAAGACTTACACAAATTTATCACTTTAGCCCTAAGACTTAAATATTTGACATATTATATATAGACAAGTGTAAAAAAAAAAAAAAAAAAAGGAATAATAGAAATAAAAGTGAAGTGGGTCTCAATCTCAAGCCTTAAGTTGAGTCTTGAAATTTCAAAACTCAACTTAAAGTATTAAGTATAAATCTTAAGACTCAAAATGATGATGTCATCCCAAAGACTTGGGCTAAACTTGTTAGTGTTTACATCTTTTACTCTCCTTTTTTTCAATTATATTCAAAGCATTGTGTATATCTTTTACTCTCTCCATTTTTGTGTAATGCCTTGATTTGTCTTGATAAGTACTTTATATGTACCAATAATTACATTTCTTGGACTTAATTATTATTATTATTATTATTATTATATCTCAAAAACATAAGTACAAAATTATACAACCTATAAAAAATTAGTGGAAAGCCGAGATACTATTATTATTATTATTATTTTATTTTTTCCCAGCCTCTTCACCAAATCTATATTAACTTTACTAAATTTTCAAATATGGTACAAATGTACAATTACACCTCGTGGACCACAACAATGGAAACATCGCAAAAAACCCATACCCGGAAAGATGAAGAGCCGGTGGTGGGAATTTAAGAAAGTCGAGCTGATCGAGTGAGCATCTAACATAATTATTGCCTATATTCACATATCAATACTTTGTAGAGTATTAAAATGTCATGCAAATAGACAAAGGACATTCGGTCAACTATTTAAAAAGTACTTCATCCGTTCTATTAATATTGTAACAATGGACTTTTTGCTCTATTCATCATTCTTGTTTGACCATATAATATGAGTTATACGTTAAGCAAAATATAGTCAAGTGGGATCTTGTTGGATTCGTCTCATAAAATACTTTCACAATATCAATTTTTTTATAATTTTTACTCTTACACAATTATATATATTTAGCATATAAAATGTGTTTTGGAATGCGTAATTTTCTCTTTGTTGCAATATTAACATAACGGAGGAAGTATATTTTAATGGACTAGCCACAGCCATATTGTGCACGATTAAAAGAGTGCAAAAAAAAAAAAAAAAGTCCCGCTCCTCATCATAAACAAGTGTATAACTTTGACTTTTTCACTGTACTATCATATACTTTGACAATTTATTATACTATGTAATAGATTTTTGTTCTAAATAGTTCAAACAATCAAATTAATCACATATATCAATGTATGAGTTTGACCATTTGCAAAAAGTTGCAAACGTATACTCCTTGCGTAGGGTTATTGCATTTCCTAGTTTCTCTCTCTAGAAGTTTTGCCACTGGAGAGTATCCTTAACACTTTCGTGCTAGGGACTCCGGGAGCAAGCTTCGTTCTTTCTATGCATTCTTGCATTAGACTAGAGTTTCTATTTAGTTTTGTTTCCTAATTTAGTTCCGTTCGTTTGTCCTTGTTTTCTTAGTATAATGAGTCCTGACTCTGATATGGATGATGCATCCACTCAGGAGATAGATTTGGTTCACAGGTCAGTAGTTAGATTAGACATAGAAAATGTAGAAGAAAAGTCGCCTACAGTTCCAATAGAGGAGGTGATGGAAGATGTTGAAAGCAGCCAACAACGTGCATTAGTTGAAGAGGAAAAGGGTGACCAATTAGTGCAGAAAAAGACACCGATTTCATTTAGAGAAGCAGTGTCCAACTCCTCGCAGTGGTTCAATGAGGCTAGGAAAATTATGATAACCTCACAAGAATGGGAGAAAGAGGAAGAGGAAGAGGACCTCACAAACTTCACTCATGCAGTGAGCTTCAAGAAAGAAAAAATTAAGCCATGGAGTTTGACTCTAATAAGTAAGTGCCTGGGTTTGAACATTCGGGTAGCATTTATGAATCAATGAGCACAAAGAATGTGGAGCCCGAAAGGAGGGCTGGAGGTAATTGAGATGGAAAGAGGGGTCTTCTTGTACTCCCAGAGAAAACATTAGCTTCGGGAATAGCTAGAATTAAAAATTCCCTCAGTCCCAAGAACCAACAATGAAAAAAACACCGATGGGGATTCAATTCCCTTCTCATAGTAATACCTTTCCCTCTGAAATTTCCCTGTCTCATATCAATTCCCCTGATATTCCCTTCTCGTCGTTTCCCCTTGTTCCATCTGACAAAGCTTCTATTGGAAAATCAGAGTGCACCGATGATAAAACAACAGGAGGAGCTTTCAGCCCCTCATACGCTACCCCCTCACCTGTCTCTACCCCCAAACACACGCCTATTTCACCTTTCACCTTCCCACCCATTCGAGTAGTATCCCACACCAACAATCCTTCTAATGGATCAATGCATCCTTCCGGCTCTTCCAGACTATGACAATCTCTTCACTCCTCTCGAGGAGCCTCCAAAAAACCCTCCAATCTTCCAGTTGCAATTAGCAAGCACAAATTTAAACCTAATGGAGCATCAAAACCGCTTTGTAGTGCTGGAGTCGATGAAGGATGTAGTGGGATTAGAGTTGAGTCTCAGCTACAAACCAACGGGGAACATAATTCCGGAGATTCGAATGTGGGCATCCCCATTGTCAATGGAGGATGTTTGGGCAATTGGGAAGCTACCCCTATGGAGGGAATGGGAGACGAAGTTCCCAACTCAGAACAATCACAATTGTTTTAGTAAGGGGATTTTTCCTGATACTCCTTTTCAAAATCCCAATATGAAAGCTATAACTTGGAATGTTAGGGGAGCTACGAGTAAATATTTGCTGCTCATGAAACAAAGTCAACGGATGAGGTAGCTAGGGTTCTTTATAAATATCTTGGTTTTGATGATTTTAGATCTAAGGCTGCTGACGGCTTAAAAGGGGGGATTTGGGTGCTTTGGCGAAAGCCTGCGGTTTTACTCGAGTTTGTCACTGACACTCAGCATGTTGTGCATTCTCTTTTCAAGTTTTCTCCCTCGAAGCCTGAAGTTTTAATAACTGGCATTCATGCACCTTCAACTGCAAGGGCAAAGGATGAATTGTGGAAAATTTTTAGGTGATAATCCACCTCCAGCCACTACTCCTTGGTTAGTAATGGGTGACATGAATGAGGTCACGTCTCAAGCCGAAATAATGGGAGGACGACCTGTCACCAATTCTCAGGGTTGTTCATTCTCAGACTGGATCAATGTTGTTGGGGTGATTGATCTTAGTTTCAATGGTCCTTCTTTTACTTGGGACAACGGACGGGATGGTACAGAACTAATAAGGGAAAGACTCGATAGAGCTTTAGCGAATGCGGAATGGATGAAAGTACACCCTCAAACTCAGGTATATCATCTCGCTAAAACTTATTCGGACCATTGTCCAGTTATGGTAGATACCGGGTCTATTATTTCTAATGGTAACTTCCCTTTTAGATGCAAGGAAGCTTGGTTAGAAAACCCTAATTTTGCTAATTTTTTTGCTAATTCGTGGAAAAAGGGTGGTAACTTTAATGAGTCTCAATGTCATTTTACTTCTGATGTTCGGCTTTTGGAATAAGTTTGTTTTTAATGAAACCATGCAGCATAAAAATCGATTAATTGCTAGGATTCGTGGAATTCAAAAGGCTCTAAGTGCTAAGTTTTCCTCCTTCCTTATTAATCTTGAAAAAGAATTATTAAAACAGCTTAATGTTGTCCTTAAATTAGAGAGAATTACTTGGGCTCAAAAGGCAGGAGTTGATTGGAGAAAATATGGGGATTGGAATACTAAATATTTTCATATTTTGGCCAAAATAAAAAACAGTAGGGGTAAGATTCTCAGTCTAAAGGATGAGTCCGGAAATTGGATTAATAATCAGAATGAGTTAAAAAATTTGTGCGTTAATCATTTCAAGGGTGTATTTGAGTCCAAGCAACTTAGTCAACCTAGAACCGTGACCTTCATCCCGAATGCAGTGGTTAACTCTGATGACTTTGCTATCTTAATTAGTAATGTTAGTACTTTAGAGATAAAAAATGCTCTTATGATGATGGCTCCGATGAAATGCCCAGGTCCTGATGGTATTCAACCAAAATTTTATCAAAAATTTTGGAATGTGGTGGGTGAGTCTATTACTAGTCTTGTTGTGAGATGTTTTAAGGAGGGCAATATTCCGGCTTATATCAATGAGTCCTTTATTTGTCTAATACCTAAAACGGAGCAATCGGAGACTATAAATGAATTTAGGCCTATTGGATTGTGTAATTCTATTTATAAGCTTATCACTAAGATTATTGCTAATAGAATTAAACCCCTATTAGGAGATTTAATTAACCCAGTCCAATCAAGCTTCATTGAAGGTAGATCCATTGATGAGAATATTCTAGTCATTAAAGAGATAGCTCACCTTTTCAAAAAATCTAGTAAAAAATATTTAATGGCTTTTAAAATTGACATCTCTAAGGCTTATGACAGTTTAGAATGGGGATTCATTAGGGAGACTCTAATAGGTCTAAATTTTCCGGATTCCCTTGTCAAATTAATCTTAAGTTGTATTACTTCTCCC